CATGACCGGCCCTCTCCCCGCCCCGCAGCGCCGGCCCCGCACCGCCCCGCACCGGGAGGGGCGGCTCTCGGTGCCAGCCCGGCGCTCCAGCACAGCCCGTCCCCTCCCCGCGTCGGTGAGGACGCCCCCACAGACCGTGGCAGAGCCTCTCCTCCTCCCCGCAACCCCTTTCTCTCGCCCTCGCGGGTTTTCCTTGCAAATCTGTCTTTTAGCGCATTTTACCGGACGCTGCTTTGCGGGTTTTGCATCAGCCTCCCCCGGGGCCCTCTGATCCCGCACTGAAGCGCAGGGAAACCCCGCCGTGAAGCAAGGAGGCAGGGTTGAACGAGAGGTAGTTTTATGGCTTGAAGCACACCACCTCCCTCAGGGCAGGGACTTTGGTCTTGGTTGGGATGGTGGTACCCACACCCCTGATGCTTGATAAGCAATACTTATTAATCACGAGAATAGTACAAACGAAGCTTCCTTCGCCCCACGCAGTCTGGATCTTACAGCCTCCACTTGCTGGAGCTGTAGTGCAACGTTCAGAAAAGCTGCACAGACCCCCACGGTGGAAAGCCGTGCCTTGACCCCACTCCAAACCCAGTCCTGTCCTGACAGCGCTATGCACCCGGAGACTTCAGAGGTATGCAGCTGATAAACGCCGAACGCAAGGAACCTTTTTTTTTTCCCCTGGTTGCAAGCTTAAGTGCAATCTTTCAAAGTTAGTTTCTTGCAAGCAAAAATCCTGGTCTTGTTTCTATACTGGGACCAGAATAACACTGGAAGAGTAAAGGAGATTGCACTTACAGTTGGACCCTTGTGTTGTCAAAGCTACCCCTTGCACCTACTGCGTCCTGCAAACTGGGTATAAAGGACAAAACTGAGGCCATGAACCCAGAGGTTTTTGTCCTTATCGACCTTCTGCAAGTGAAGGTAGTGCACCCAATGCCTGTCTCCTGCCACAGAGATCCCAGCACATCCTCTGCTCCCAGGATCTGTGGCTGAGTGAGAGGACAAAGCAGACCGAAAGCTGAAAGAGTGCCAAAACCAGGGTAGCAGGAAGATCTACAGAATTACATACAGATACAGAGAAATGACATCTTGAAATATATAGGGCACATCTGGAGCTGAGCTAATTTACCACAGCTGCAGGTCTGGCCCACAGAGACTAAATTCAAAAGCGAACAAACAAATAATTCAATTTTCATGGAAAGGAAGTTTTTTTGCCAGCTTCGTCAATAAAACATTCCAGCAGCAGCAGCAGCGCTCCCCCAGGCTGCTCCACAACAACAGACCAAGAGGAATTTCCCCTTCTCAACAGGTGTGGCAACAGCTATGCAGAAGTAGCCTCCAAAGCATTCCCAGACATATTTTATTAGAAGAAGAGGAGGGGCACATCACAAGTTAGGAGGAAAAAAAAACCACCACGCTTCAAGTTCATCCTTCCTTCAGATCTCTTTCATGTTGATGCTTAAGAGAAAAAGCAAGGATTGCAGCCCAGGAACTCTTCACGTAGGTGCAATTTTAAGTCACTTTGTTACTTCCAGGTCTGTATTGGGTTAGTCTTTGTCATGCACATCTGAGCTGCCTTTTTTTAAGCTTAAATTGCGTCTGCTCCAACAGCCTCTGAGGCCAACTGTGGCTGTGGGAGGATTACGGGAGACCAGGTC